AAATCAGAAAATCCCAGAAACGTCATTCCATGATCATTAGTAAACGAGGTGGATAGGAAAGAAAGGATTATACAAGAGGCTTATAACTTACTTCTGTTTTATGGTAACGCCAATACTGTTCAATAATTTCAAAGGACTAAAATATAGTTTGGCTAAGCTGAAAGAACGAGTGAAGCAGATATTTTATAATGACAAATTCAATCTAAAATTGAAAAGAAAACGCCATATTGAAAAGAAAGTCACTTGTTTTTACTGCATACATCAGGCCAATCATATATATATATATATATATATATATATATATATATATATATATATATATTATTTTTAAATTTTTTAAAAAAGTTTTTTTGTTTTTTATATATTACTGAGTATAGTTGGCATTCTTAATAATTTAACTTATCTTTAAAATTTTAAATAGATAATATATTCATCGTTAAATTATTTTTTATTCATTGATAATTTTAATTTTTTTAATATATTCTTTCTTAATATTCTTTTATATAATTAAGATTTTAATTGGATATCTTATTTTAATTATATGTCTTATCTTAAGGTTTTAATTATATATATTATTATTTTAATTATATATTTTATATTAATTAAGATTTTAATTTTATATATCTTATTATATATCTTAATGTTGATTTGTTATATATCATATTTGTAGGCATATATTGGTATTTTTTAATGGAAACAATTTTTTATATAATTAATAATTAAAAATTTCGTTTTATAAAACTCCTTTTTCCTGTCTTCCTTTAGTTTCACTTCATCTTTCTTATAACCCTTATTTGGGTTGAATTTATGGAGCTTCTTTCCTTTTAAGAGAGACATCTTCCTCCCGTCTCTTACCACTACTCGGGCGTCTGTCCTGTCGAAGCTTCGGTATGGATAAGATCTGTATCATTTTATCAACTGCTGTTTTGTTAAATCTTAAATTTTAAATGTCTAGTCCGACACTGAATACCGTCCATCGTGAGTTGAATATAATTGACGTACTCGGCGTCAGCTGAAATAGACTATACTCATGAGGTAATTTTGGATTTTTCCCGTGTAATATATATATATATATATATATATATATATATATATATATATATATATAAGATCACTGTTAGATTGGCTGACCTTTTAGATCTTGCTCTCGATGACGATTCAGACTAGCAGATTGAAAACTGCTGAGTACACTAAAAGACGTTGATCTCCATTCTACCTGTTCCAAGGCTTGAGGGTATTATGAGGTATAATGACAGCTGACAAGTTGCTCTTCAGCTTCTCTTTGTATCTTAGCCATAAGCGTCCTACATTTCTGTAGCCCTGATCTAACTGGCTGTACATTAGAATCCTGAGTATCCTGTCATCAGACATTCTCAGGACATGACCAGTCCACCGTAACTGAGACTGTATGAGAAAAGTCTCGATTCCTCCAATATTACACCTGTTAAACAGCTCTACGTTAGATGTCCTATCTTAAAGGTTAACGCCACAGATGGCACGCAGACAGCTTTTATGGAAAACATCCAACTGGCGTATATCGTACCTGTATGGAGTACATGACTCTGAGCCGTACAAAATGATGGCAAGGACAACGGACCTGTAAATTCGAATTTTCGTACCCAGTCGAATACCCCGCTCATTCCACAAACGATGACGAAGTTTGCCGAAAGCTATGGTAGCCTTAGCAATTCGATGCATAATTTCATCATCTAAAGATCCACGGTAGTTGACTTTGCTACCAAGATAGGTGAAAGACTTTACATAATTCAAGTCTTTGTCTTCTTCTTCCAATGGTCTCTCTGGAAATTTGTAGACTGGTGGTTTTTGTTTCTCACCACAGAATTGCTTCGGGGTAGGACAGGGTTGGTGGACTACGTCAAGTATATATATATATATATATATATATATATATATATATATATATATATATATATATATATATATATATATATATATATGAGGAGTAATGGATAAATTCCAAATGGACTGAGGAATTGGAGAGCCGAGTTCGAATTCTAGTCAAATCCATTACATTCACTTACGTCGTAATACCCTTGGGAAATGTGTGAATCCTCCTCTTTTCCTTCCAGTTATGGGTAAATAGCAGGACAGACCGGGTTCTATAGCTTTGGATTACAACTGGTCTAGGAGAAGGAAAAATCTGAATTCAAAACCTGCGGAAGGTTGTTTGGGAACCTGTGGCACGTAGTGCACCAGGACTCTGTATTCGGACCTTCAAAAAAGTGTGGATGGTCCTGCGCGAAACCTTCACCACTATAATCATATGTTGTCGGGCTGTCGGTTTCTTTGGAACTGATCTGCTTGACGCTCATACATCGAAGTCGACAGGATAGTAGAATATATATATATATATATATATATATATATATATATATATATATATATATGTGGCACCATTTACCAGGGAAAAAAAGAAAAGAAAGGAAAAAGAGAAAGGAAAGAAAGGAAAAGAGAGGCGAGACCCAATCGTGGATGTCATTACAATGGCAGAAGGATTCTAGGTGGATGGGGGAATCGACTGTGTACTGTCAACAACTTGTGTTATCAGGGCTTTGGATAGATAAAAGCAGCTCAATGCGGAAAACATCTAATTAGCAAACCACAGACCGACTAGCCAAGAAAAACTCCAATTGAAAATGTTATTTTGATAATTGACAAAGAACAGATGAAATACAGGGCTTTGGATAGATAAGAACAGCTCAATGCGGAAAACATCTAATTAGCAAACCACAGACCGACTAGCCAAGAAAAACTCCAATTGAAAATGTTATTTTGATAATTGACAAAGAACAGGTGAAATACAGGGCTCTGATAGATTTTTTTTCTGCTGAGCCGCGCACGAAGTAACGGCTGACGTTTTTTTTTGACAAGACATCTTTGGCTGCGATAACAGAACTATGTTATCAGAAATTGGCACCAAGAATGCAAATACGGCTGGGACAATGGAACTTTTCTTTTTTGCGAGACGACGGTCGACTGTGTTTCGCTAGACCACCCATTCTGATAATTAGCGATAAGATGACTGACGAAGTCCAGGTGAGAACAAGAGTTATGACCACCACCGATCGCATTGTTCTATTTGCAGCCAGAGAAAATGAGAACTGCGATTAAAAGAAAGAAAAGGAAAAGAAAAAGATAATTTTTTTTTTTTAAGCAAGATATTTTTTTTTCCTGAAACAAGCCCGCGAGATCGCACACGCCCGGCTGGATATCATTGGCCGAGTGGTGATCACGTGACGCAAGGAGGAAGCTGTCGCCGCCCACCTAGAGGATGGGTATGACAGGTTGCTACGAAGAAGTGGGGAGAGCAATTCACGCCCTCTGAAGTATGGTGAGAAGGTGGGAGTAAGATGAGGCTCCCCAAAATGGAAAAAAGTGGAAAATTCCTAACCAAAAATAAAAGAAGTGGATATGTATTTAGAATTATCGAGGAACTCCTGGCGCCGACAAACCCACCCCGGTTTTGGTCGGCGTCCATATAAGCAAAGTCGCAGCGAGCAGAAGACAGTTCGGGAGAGACAGTTCCAGAAAGTTCCAGAGTTAAGTTCGGGAGAGTCAGTCTCCAGTGCTCAGTTGAAGCAGGCCTCACATCGGCTGACCAAGATTCGCGCAATTTCCGGACTCATCTTCAATCCAAGAACAATTATTTTGAAGAGCGACTTAGATCCAGACCACCAAAATAAGTTTTTTCGACTTTCGCCCGAAGACACACCAAAAAACCAATTTCTTAAATAGCAAACAACTTGAAGTGTTAAAACTCGCCTAACGGAAAACAACGTGTCACAATCCATAGAACGGGTCGGGAGATAGACGCAGTCCTATGTATCCATCAACTAGACATAAAGTTTGTTATCCTTTTTTTTTGATACCTTGAACTTTTGAGTTTTCATTTTATTTCTTTTATGCGTATTTGTGCGATACCACCCCCGCTTGGACCCAACTTGCATTACGGCCCTGACGACTGATTGATTTCGCCTGCCTAAAGATCAATTCACAACGTGGGTAGGCAGACTGGAGATCAACGCAGTTACTTTGGTAACCAGACGTTGGAAGCGAGTTGGGAAGGACGGGGCTGATATCGAATCTAACCAGATTCCCATCCGAGTGACCCAAAAGGTTAGAACGTCACATTTGGGTGCCGCGACCGGTACCAAGCCAGTTGGTCGTCACAGGACGAGACAACACGACTGACGCGACCGGCGGACGTCACGTTTGGAGCGGCGATACCCGAACGAAGCAGCGAGGAGCGAGCGAAGTTGGTGCCGTGACCATAGGATAGGACCCTGGAACAGCTACTGTCACAATTAGTACCGTGACAGCAGGACAGGACCCTGGACCGAACGCTGTTGCTGAGAAATTTCGAGCTAGCGTAGGAAATTTTGTTGGCTGTGGCCATACGGTTCCAGAAACTCTAGTACAACGACCCGGAACCTGAGAGGAACGAGAGGAGAATCGTCTGTAAGGTAGGACACTTTGTTTGATTTCCCAATCTCGATTGTTGCTGCGTAGATTGTCTTTCTCTTTAAATATGTCGGACTATGATTCAGATAGAGTAGTGGGGGATGAAGAGGGGGTTAGACAGGGGTTGTCAGCTGACCTAAGAGAGTTGTTGGGTAGACCGAGGGTCCCAGCATTTGACGGCAGTGGGAGAGATTTCAAAAACTGGCTGGCAATCCTGGAGAAGAGCCGAGTTATATATGAACTCACAGACCAGGAGACCCTGTATCTGGCATATGATGCCACGAAAGGGAAAGCGTTTGAGTTTATGAAGCGGCTCTTGAAGAATGAACCCCACTTGACATAGGAAAAGTTAAAGGGACTATTAACTAAGGAGTTCGCCGACGAGGGGACGGCGATAGAGGCTAAAGTTGACGCAGCTGCGGGACGAAACCCCTGGAGAATTGGGGGCCCAAGCGGAGAAGCTGTCATCATTGGCCTTCCCAGAGGTGGTGAGAGACAATGCGGTCATGCAGGCCCAGTTAGCAGACCTGTATATTGAGGCACTCAGTGACAGGCGTGTTCGTCACGATGTGCTGAAGGAGGGACCGCTGAGACTATCGGCAGCAGTAGAGCTGGCCAGAGAGAGCCAGGGCATATGGGAAAAGGTGAGAAGGTGTGAAAGGAAACAGGTACTAAGTCAAGAGGTCGGAAGAAGGGGGAAGGCGGAAGACCCCCTGCGTGGAATCGGAGGGTCAAGCTGGAAGTAGATGAGCCTGAGGTGTGGGAAGAAGACCCCAATAGAAAGGCGTGGTCAACAAGGCATGGGTTCTATAAGCCCACGCCGGGTAGATACGGGCTGGTCAGCTGGACTTGTGGGCATGAGGACCACAGAGCGGAATGTCCGACGAGGTGGGGTTTGCCCCCAGACTTCGAACAGGACAGGTGCACTAGGTGTGGAAAGAGGGGACACCTAGCCAAGTGGTGCGGGTTGAGAAAAAGTGCCCCACCGACATTAATAAAGAAGGCCGAGCCCAAGAGACAAAACCAGGGAAAAGCCAACGGGCCACCCCGGAATTAAGAGGGAGGGTGGCCCAGTTAAAAAGAAAGGAAATAAAAACTTGGACATGTGGTCAGGCGAGCCACTTAGGTAGAGGGCAGGTCCCCCCCGGGAATAAACGAGAGGTTAGCCCAGTTGAAGAGAAAAAGAGCAAAATGTTGGACATGTGGTCAGGTGGGCCACTTTGCGGTGAACTGTCCGGCAAGAAGGTGCTGGTTTTGTAGGAGACCAGGGCACCTGAAGAGAAGTTGTATCCTTAGGAACAGCCGCGGGAGACTGGGAGAGGTCCAGCCGGGGCCGCCCATGTGCGGAAAGCGCAGAACTCCCTCTCGTAAGAATAATGAAGGTGATTTGTTGCTACCGGCGCCTATGGCTGGGATGACCCAAAGGTAGGAACCCATGAAAAGGAAAGCCCAAGTGTTCTCTTCGCTGACGCAAGAGAAGGAGCTATCCTGTAGAGCAGAGATAAGGGGTAGGTCGATGAAAGCCCTGGTTGACACAGGAGCATCTGTTTCATTGCTGAGAGAGGAAGCATACAGGCGGGTGAAACGGAAGAGTAGGTTACGGGAAGCGGACATAGAGGTCATGCAAGCAGATGGAGCCCCCCCACCCCCCGGAGATAAAAGGGATGGTGAGGCTCCCTGTGAAGATTGGGAAATTAAGAAACACCCAAGATTTTTACGTAACCCCCAACCTGTGTACGGAGGCAAACATTGGGAGAAGATTGGCTCCGGAGCCAGAGGGCCCAGATAGAGTTCAACCCCACTGTGTTGATAGTGAATGGCGAGAGAACGCCATTGGGATGCCCACCAGAAGAAGATATAACAATAATGGTGGAGGAAGATGTAAAGCTACTAGAACGGCGGTGTCGGGAAAGGGTAGGTTAATGTCAGGGAAGAAAATAGGAAAAGGACCCCTGCAATTGGTCCCTGTAGAAGGGAAGGGCCTAGAAGAGAATGAGGTGAGACGGTGGTGAATTAGTGCCCATTATGATGGTGAACCAGGCCCAAATGACTATAAAGGTTAAGAGAGGGGAAGAGATAGGAAAATCACTACCCCTACGGATTCTGAACCGGGTGAGATTTGAAGAGAAACGAGGAAAACTCGTAGAGCAAACAGAAGGAATAGTGGACGAAGATATATTAGCACCGGATCAATTTAGAACCAGAGTGGGAGGTCTGCTGAGGGATAATCGAGATGTGGTGGCCCAGTCAGACAAGGAATTGGGCCAGACCCACACAGTCAAAATGAAAATCGACACCGGAGATCACACCCCTGTGAAATTAAAAACCCTATCGGACACCTATTCATAAAAGACCCCTTGTAGAAGAGGCAGTAGAAGAGATGTTGAAGCTGGGATGATCGAAAGATCGATCTCCCTTGGAATTCCCAATCGTAATAGTAGGTAAGAGAGATGGCGGGCACCGTTTTTGTGTAGATTTTAGGAAACTGAATTCTATATCGAAGCCGTTAGCGGTGCCATTGTCACCGGATGACATATTAGCATTATTAGGGAAAGCAAAGTACTTCTCTACGTTGGACTTGAGGTCCGGTATTGGCAGGTAGCCCTTGATGAGGCTGACAAGGAGAAGGCCGCATTTGCGTGTCACCTAGGACTGTTTCAGTTCAGGGTGATGCCATTCGGTTTAAATGCCCCGGGAATCTTCCAACAGCTGATGTCAATAGTGTTAGGAGGATACGAGAGCATATTTGGATGATATTTTGATATTTTCAGAAACAGTAGGACAAAAATTTTTCCATCTAAAACAAGTGTTGGGAAGGTTAAGAAAAACACGGCTTAAAATTGAAATTGTCGAAGTGTCAGTTTCTGAAGGAGGAGACTAGATATTTGGGCTTTGTTATAAACGGAGACGGTATTAAACCCGACATGGATAAGGTGAAAGTCATAAGGGAAATGCCAGAACCTAAGACAGTGAGACAAGTAAGAGGCTTTATAGGAGCTATAGGTTACTACCGACGAT